TCTAGGACTCGCCAGCATGTTGGAGACGACCTTGGATGAGGCTCATAACACGGATCAGTGGAATACCCACAAATCTAGCCATTTTGGATCTTGAAAGTACCAGCAGGACTCAAGGCTGACAAGAAAAACAGTCTGCCTGAAGAAAATCAACAATTGTAGCTTATCTTAATCTGACTCCCGTTTGGCCTCGAACACAGGCCAACTATAAAATTTCTCCTGGGACATGGGCAACTAAGGAAAAAGCTTCATCTATTGCAATCCCGTCCCCCCGAGAACTTCTGTGCAGGCTTATCAGAACTGACTGCTGCCCAACATCTTATCGGGACTATGGCCTATCTGGATGTGCTTCATGGACAAATCTCACCGTCTTGACGTCAAATGCATAACGTGTTTATAAATGTGCTTACTGGTAAAGTTTTTTGATGTCTTAAACCGTGTCCTGATAGGACAAGATGTGAAGAGATCTTTTTTTTTTTGTAATACCACTATCCATCCTTATGGCCTTTTATCTTTTTCTATCTAAAAATATTCTGATAAAGAATAAAAGGCCATGCTCCTGTAGCAGCAGCAACGTGCACTCCGCCCATCTTTCCGACGACTGTACGAACCTAATCTCACTGTATCTCGGTACAATGATAATAAAGCTTATTCTGATTCCAGTGAAGTCATGATTGGCTTCAGGTTTAGAACCAGACTGACACTATGAGCTCAAAGAAACAACTAGAAACTTTATTTTGATCAAAAAAAAATGCTGGTGAGGCAGCGCAAAATTGACAGAAAATTTAAGAAGCTTTTTTTTAATGATTGTCTGTTGTTGTCGTTGTTATCCACTGTTGTCATCATTCTTTGTTAAAAGTCAGGTCTCTCTTGTAAATGAGGCTCAATGAGACTAATCTGCACAAATGAAGGTTGAATGAAAAATGCAAACTCCACCCAGGAAGGTCCCGTCAGGATTTGATCCGGCGACCTTCTCACTGAGAGGCGGCAGCTCCGAGCCATCATGCCACCCATCAAAGATATTTGTAGATTAAAAACTTCATCTTTAGCAATTTTATCTCACGTGGTGCAAAACGCTGCACTGAAGATGTCATGACCTTTAACCTCTGCTTACGCCTCAAACTTTTATAGCTCATAAACGAAATTATAGACCAAAATGTAGATAATTTTATCCCACGTTTCTCAGCAGCATGCTGGCGATCGCAACACGACTTCCTGTTTGGGAAATGTTCTCAGGTCTATTCAGAGCTGCTCTTCTGACCTGATCCATGTTCACATGGTTCATCTGTTTTCACCAAAACTGAACATAAATAAGGTGGTCGCTGTTTTCTTTGTGATATCCCCAGGCTTCATTACTCCCTGAAAACAAAACAAACTATAAAACCATGTACATAGATGCTTAGTTATCTTGCATCCAACAAAAAATGAGCAGGAAAACAAGTTGGGATGGAGCTCTGAGTTGATTTGTTGGTTTAAGAAAAGCAATTGTGGAAAAATTCCAGCAACAATCAGAGGGTATAAATTCTTAAATTTTATTTAACATTGCAGGATTTATCTCGGAGACGCATCCAACAATAAACTGGCACAAGTTTCTCTTTAATTTTTTTTAAACGCAGCCTGCTGTGAAAAACGCATTATCATTTTGGCAATTTGTGCTTCCCTATGCAAATGGGTTAGTAAATTGTAAAATAAAATACATATCTGGTGCATCACAGCTGTTTAATGCAATCAGGACTTGAATATCTTAAAAGTTTTGCAGGGCTCGGTAAAAAAAAAAAACTTTTAAAAAAGAAGAAAAAGAAGCTAAACTTGTGTGCTTCTTTAATGCTTTGCAGCAATCCGGTAGTCAGTTTGCATTCCTGGAGCGTTCAGTCACCATGCAGATAATTTTCACAAGCGTCAGTGAATCATGAAGGACACTTAAGTCTGAGATGTGATCAAAATACAAGGGGAGGGGGTGCACTCAGCACTTAGGAGTTTGTTAAAGAAAGTGATGAGGCATTGTCCGTTTGTTCGCCCTCTGCTCAGCAAAGCCCTTGTTGCTTCCTGTTGTGCTTGTGTTGGAACAAATGTACACATCCTGTCTGCAGAAAAGACGACTCCTGAAGAGAAAGCTTACACGAAACAAGCAAAACAGACGAGAGCATCCAGTGAAACTGTGAGAGTCACCAGAAACTTAGCAATTTTCTGCCTTTTTTTTTAAAGGAAAAAACAACAGGTTAATGAATCCAGAGTAGTTTTTAGGTAAATAAAACTGAAACAGGTGATTTTAGTGCAATGAAAGCACCTTGCAGCTTTGAAAGAGCTGCAGATGAGCAGCAGTTACATAAGAGGCTGTTTGCTGAATGTACAGTGCCATCGTGTGCAGAGCTTCCTTCATTACATTCTTATTGTTTGGCTTCATTTCCATCAGGTTTTGACATTCAAGTTGTCACATTTTAAAAGTGGTATTAAACAAATCAAAGCAGTTTTTTTTACACATAATATTAATAAAAATAACATAGAATTTTATGCAAAGTAGCAAAAAAAAAGGTAATATTTTTGTTAACTGTGCTCAAACTCCTCAGTTTTAAAAGAGATGGGGTGCTCTGATAGACATGAAGCACCTGGAGAAGTGTGGAGGAGTGTGCAATGGATGGAAACAGAAAAAAATCATCTTGTTCTCAGTGTAAAACTACCAAAAAAATAAAAGGCATATATCGTGTAAGGAACATAAAATATTATAAAAGAAATATCTGTGACAGTCACCCTGGGCTGGAGAACTCTTTAACGTTCAGTAATCACAGTTTAAATCTGAACTCAATCCAAAACATTAGCAGCTTCTCAGGACTCGTGATATTTAAAGAGATATTTTGAAAATGTGTTGAAAGGGAGAACTTTTCTTTTAGGGGGGATCAGTGGTTGGGTGGTCCTCTTCCAGCTGGGAAACTAGGGGTTTAATCTGATTAATCCCCAGTTCTGCCATGTGTCAAAATGTCCTTTAGGCAAAACGCTGAACCCCCACCCCCTGTTGCCCCTGATGTGCTTATCGCTTGTCTGATTTCCTCACTTGTAAATCAGTTTGGATGAAAGCGCTTGCTACATGATGCAACATGATGTAATGTTTGTTGAGTCGTGATTTTGGAAAACACGAGAAGGAGTTTGTTCTGAGCACCAATGGTTTAAAATGACAGTTCAGATGTTTTAAAGTGGGGTTCTGCAGACAGGTTGTGAGCAATGAACATCTTACCTGTTGTAGATATTAGACAACACAAGTTTAGAGAAATTGAGTTTATTTTGACAGGATTGATGAGCTAACAGCTGGTCGGAGCAAAAGTCAAGAGGAAAGTGGATTACTCCTGTCTTGAAACAACTTCAGTCTTAAAATACTTGAAGAGGTTCCTTTATGTGGTTATTTGCTAGCAAAAATACTGGAAGCAGCAGATAGCTGTAGCACTTCCAGTGCAGACTGGGAAACTTCAAATCGTGATATATTTCTGTCAGAATAATCATTTAAAGCAGGGGCGTCCAAATGTTTTCATATGTGGACCAAAACTATCCAGATGAAAAGACTGGTGGGCCACAAAAAAGGGAATTTAACTCTCAACGTGAGCAATATTTTGGCAAAAGGACAAAAATTTACTAATTTTGGTGGAGAAAGAGTTTAAAGTTGTTGTATATCCAAAACATTAAAAGCCTCATAAACACCAAGCTTACATTTTTTATGAAAAATGATTGGATTTATTTGATTTGTTGGGTCTGTGATTGTTGTTTTCTTGTGTTTGGAAAGTTCAATTTTGTTTGTTCTCAGCAAAAAAAAAAAGCGTAATTTAAGTAAGTGTCCTTTTAAAAGGGGTCGATCAGCCTTTTGGGCCGTCCATGGTCCAGAAGTTCAGAGAAATCGTCCAGCTGTCAGTTGCTACACCAGATTCATAGAAAGTTTGATAAAGTTTATCAACTCGTACGCAGATGATACCACATTATATTCATTTAAAAATGTCCAGTTTCCCTTTTGTTTATTTTATCAACTGCAATATTTAGCCAAATTTTATGAATCTTTATTCAAAAGTCTCATTTCTGGTAGAAATCAGTAAAGTTTTTTGGTGCTTTGTACCATGAAGTAGAAATAAAAAGATTATAGCCAAAGGTTTGTATTTTGTTTAATATTGCTCAATTTGAGAAAACTGTTTTTCATCCGTTTTGCTGTTAAACCTAAATATTATATAAAAAAAGGATTACCAACTAATTTTCAGAAAATCTGCTTTGACCTCTAAAGCCTGCTGGACAAAATGATTCAATTCTTAAACTGCAGCTTTGGGCCACACAAAATCACTCCAAGGGCCGCAAATGGCCCTCGGGCCACACTTTGAACACCAGTCCCTTAAAGAATTGAGTTGTAATAAAACAGCAGTACTCCACTTTGTTCTTAACCAAGCTCTGACTAGCCATTAGCTCGTCAGTTTGATCAGATCTAAACTCTGTTCCTCCACACTGCGCTCAATCAAATAACTTTTTGCAACAGGTAAGATAGTAATTGTTTACAATCTTTTACAGAGCCTTACTTAAAAATAGTTTAAGTATTCCTTTAAAAAATCTGTGAAGGCACAGTTTTGATGAGTGAAATGAAAAGAGTTAAATTTTTCCTCGTTCCTTTTGACATCATTTGCCAAACAACAAACACAGATTGGGTTAAAACTGCATAAATGAGCTCAGGTGCTTAACTAAACTCTCACAAACTAAAACATTTGGTGCATTTTAACAGAGCAAAGGGTTCAAAGAAGGCTTTTTAAAAAAAAAAAGTCACATCAGTCGACTTTCAAACTTTCAAAATGCTGTCCCAAACTGAGGCAATACAGTTCGTGAACAAACATGCGCTTGTTCTCCAACTGTAAAAGAAACTGCTGGCGTCGGTGTTAACGATTTTTGACCTCTGCTTTTTAAATGTCTGTACTTTATTGAGAAACAAACAGCGGCACTGTTTTAATCTTATTTTTCGCTGTAAGTACATCTCTGTCAGAGGCCTTTCAGAGGACGATAAAAGACAGAAGCACCAGGTTGTGCAGCAAAGGGAGTAAAGAGTAGACCGGAAGAGACGGGCTGCTGTTTCTGCCATCACCAGGAAGTGACTGGTTCTGCCTCCTCACGCTTCTCGTACGAAGAGTGGTCATCCTCTTTGTTTGGGCGGAGGAGCTCTCTGTTGGAAAGAATCGATTTGTGGCCAACCCCATGCCGTCCCCCTCGGATGTTTCAGCAATAAGGCTTTTCTCCGAGAAATGGAACGAGTCCGAGGTGTGGGGGGAGTCAGGCGGGGAGGTTTCCTTTGTGCCAGAGATGAGGTGATCGATGTTATCCGGGCCGGCAGTTGCAGCCTGGTGATTAATGGTTTGGTGGGTTAAGGTGGAAATGCTGATGGGCGTGGTTGGGGAGGCGGATTGCCCTTTGTTTAAGGTCTTGTGGGGGGGTTGAGGCGTGCTGAGCAGAGCAGAAACCGACAGGTACCACCACGGAGTGGCGTCGGCTTCTGAGGCCGTGGAGCTCAGATCCGGGTCACTGTAGGAGGCGTAGTGCCACCCTCCAGTCCTGTTGGGGTGTACCCCTCCGCAGACAGGCTGGGTGTGGCAGGGGCAGCCGAGGACTCGTGTGGAGGTACGCTGGGTCCAGGAGAGCAGGTAATCCATGTCAGCGTAAAGATGACAGGCCCAAGGGTTGCTGCCCAACGTGATGACTTCAAGCGACACCATGCTGTCCAGAACTCCAAACGGCAGTGAGGAGAAGCGGTTAGCATGAAGGTAGAAACGAGTTACTCTCGTCAGACGGTCTAGAGAACTGGGCAGCACCTTCACAAGCAGGTTGTGCGACAGATCAATGGTCTCCACGTGTGCGGGCAGGTTGGTGGGCAGAGTCCAGAAGTGGTTATAGCTGAGGTTGAGCGTCCTCAGGTTGATCAGTGTGTTGTTGATGAAGATGGCCCTCTGCAGGTTGTTGTTGGACAGGTCCAGTGTTTGTAGGTTCCACTGGATGGCCGTGTCGTTTTTGTCCAGCAGGTGGATGCGGTTGAACGTGGCGTGGAGTTGCCAGAGGGAGCGAGGCAGGTCTTCGGGCAGCCGGCTCAGCCTGTTGTGGGACAAATCCAGCTTCCGGAGGTGGGTGTATGCCGCAAGCTCACCGTCCAGGTTGTGAAGCTGGTTGTGAGACAGGTTGAGGGAGCGTATGTTGTGCTGCAGGCCATGAGGCAGCTGCTTCAGGCCCCTCCGGGAGCAGTCAACCTCCCTGTGGCTGTGGGTGCAGGAGCACGTGGAGGGACACACGGCCAAGACGCGCAGTCCCAACCACAGCACGAGGACAAGTTCCAGAAGGGCCTCTTTGAGACAAAGCTTCAGCAGAGCAGGCCTACTGAGAAAAGAAGAACGGAGGAAAGACGTTCAGTGTTTTTGTACACAGCTCACATCTAACTGTGTGACAGACTTCTGCCTGCACGCCGTGACCACAGGAAACACATATTTCAAGCATTACTCCCGTTAATAAATGTGCCGAATGAGCAAAGTACACCTCACACTGTAAAGGCACCATGATGCAGGCGCTCCTCTATTAACATTTAAACTTTATTGAGACGCATCGCCCAGCAGCGAGGGAGACTAATCCCTGCAGTGATTTTCCCTGGCACCGGCTCGTGTTCAGTCATCGGCGGCTGCCGGTGGAGTCAGTCCTGCTCTCTCAGAGGAGGAAAACTAGCCCGATAGATGGGCTTTTATTAACGGCTCCACGGAGAACTCATGCATCAGCTGCTCCTAAAGCAAAGGCACAGCCAGGATGGTGCTGAAGCTGCAGTGTTTCTGTGCGAGCCAGGGTGTGGCTATGGACGTGTTTTAAAAAGCCTTTAAATGGGTTCATAGCTCACCTTCTCATCTTATCTCTCCTGTCCTCCAGCAGCTCTTCTGCCTCCTGCCCTGCTCTCGAGCTCGAGACCAGCTGATGCTCGGCTGCAGGTGAATTTTCAGATGTTTTCCTGCTCTGTGCCTCTTGAACTTGACCCCAGCTCTCTTGTCCAGTGCACGTGCTCTGCCCTCCCTGGCATGTAGGGTTCAGTCCCTTTCTCCTCCGTGAAGGCTGCGAGTTCACTAATGCATCTTGTAGATCTTTTGGGGTTGGCGCGATCAGCCACTGCAGACTCTGGATTTACAGTGTGCAGTGGAAGTGGGGAGGGGGGGGGGAGGCTGGGAGAGGTATTGGGGAGAAGAAATGGAGCGCATAATGCTGGGGTTTCTCTGCAAACAAGAATTCCACAAAGGGGGAACTCCTCGTCTCTCTTCTTTTTTATTTTGTGCCTGCTTTTAGGATTTACCTTTCAACCAACAACTGCTATTTATGTTTACTTTAACAGCTGAGAAAGATTACTATCAGTTATCAACTTAATCTATATCATTCCTCTCTAAAGTACCCCCTGTGCAAATCGATGAAGTGCTGTAATTGGTTGTTCTTTTCCCTGCGTAAATCTAGAGGCTGCCACAGAAAAAGCCTGAAGATTTATTACGGGGGGCTCTCCTCCTCTGCAGCATCCCACCTGTCATCAGCAATACAGCCAGCGCTCCATTCTGCACTGCATTGCTGCACAAGTGATCAGAGGATGGGCTCCAATGGGGATTTGCATCACTTTTCTGGTTTATGCAAGCACGTCTGCTGAGGTTCACATTTATTCCTTTATTCTGTTTAGTTCCCTGTGTTTGCTCAGAGGAAATGCAGACTAAACAAAGCATTATTTTGCAATGTGCTTGCTACTTCCTCACTCCAGATCTCTCTCTCTCTCTCTGTGCTTTCCTGTGTTGTCTGCTGCTTGCTTCCAGTAGCCGGCTGCACCAGCGTTGAAACTCATGTACTCTGTCTCCTTCCAGAAAAGCCTCAACATCAATCCCTCATCTCCACTGTCAGCCGTGATGCAACACGATGTGATGTCGGTCCGACTCGTGTTTCCAAATAGCATCCAAACCCTCTGGAAAAATAAGAAAGCTCCTGAGAAATACACAACTCTAACTGGGTGATAATGGTTACAGCCAAGTCCAATCGTTTTACTTGTAAAGAGCGGCTTTAACTCACCTCAGTCTCTGTTGAGTCCTTTAAAAAGCAGCTTTTTATTCAGACAAGCTTTTAGTTAAATGTTTTACTTTCTGGTTTGATCAGCTGTTCTTACTGCTTTTGTTTTATTTTAAGCCCGTATTTCTGTAAAACACTTTGTGATATATGAAAAGTGCTATATAAATAAAATGTACTTACTTACTTATTGTTTTGATCTTCTGTCTGTGCTGTTTCAGGACAAATTATCATGTAGAGGATAAAATGGTAGTATTTCACGTTGCAGAGTTAGAGACAAAAAAACAACAAAAAAGTTGTAATATACATACATTTTACTCATACTGAACACACACAAACGTGTAAATACACACACACACACATATATATATATATATATATATATATATATATGTATATATATATATATATATATCTCTTTATATACACTTGAGAATTTATTTGTCTCACAGATTTTTCACATAAATTTAAAATTCCAGCAACACCAGAGCATGGCCCTGGGATTAACGTGAGGACATTGAAAATCCTATAGAATGTTTTATGGTATTTTTTAACTTCCCTCCTGAATGTCATCTACAATTTGTTGCCAACAGTCCCAACCCAGAGAAACACTGTTCTTAAATCAGGGTCACTGACAAAATACACTCAGAGTACTTTAATTTTTTTTTTGCAGACCCTGCAGCAGTAAGCCTTGGATATAAAACAAACACAAGGAAGCTGCATGATTTATACCTAATATTTAAAACAATGCACTCAGACCCCAAATCTGGGATCTTTCTATCTGGGAAGCTTTCTCAATTCAAACACTGCAGAGAGAGGTGTTCCAAGCCTTTAACCTGGATGAGAAGGTGAATTATGTAAGCACATGCAGATTAAACTCACTACCCTCACAATGGAGAGACATTAGAGTCTTTATAAGAGACATACTTTAGTCACATGCATGAAGGTGTAAATTAGAGTGAAACTGACTGGGTAGCAAAATCAGTGCTACAATAAGTTTTAGAAAGCTAAGATCTGAGAGCTCATCCCCTGTGTGAAGTTGTTTTTCCTTGTTTGATGATTTTTCACCACTTTTTTATTGTCTGTCCAAACAGGTCTCACTTGTAAATGAGTCTTCGAGGCTCAGTGTGACTTATCTGTTTAAATAAAACTTAAATGAATGACATGAATGGCTTTCTTAACCCCCCTCTCAAACCATCTGTCTTCTCTGTCCAAAATATGAACAATTTGGTCTTCAAGCGTTTCTGTTCTTCTTTAGGTGCACAGCCTCTAAATGGGGGGGGAAAAAAAGTACTTAGACATTTTATGTATGTTTATTATAATTAATTGGAGATTTTCATTGTAAAATTTACAGCAACCTGTAATTGTTGAAACATGGTGGCACAATATAATCCTGATAGTCAGGACAAGAGGTTTTTTTTAAATGTATTTCCAGTTTTTCGGTGGAAAATGTCTTTAAGAAACAGATAAACCTTTTTTTTCTGATAGAGAAATTGAAGCGTTACTTTCGACACCACCGTCTGAAAATAAACCCTAAAAAATGGGCCACATCTGGCCCGTAGGTTGCCATTTGGAAAACACTAGATCTTCTAGTGACAGCTCAAATATCTGCACATCACTACGGGAACAAAGAACCATTTAAAATGTTTTTAAAGCTTTCTTTTGTGCTGAGAATGAAGTGAAACAGAGCGTTGTTTCTGAGCGGTGTGCCATCACCTAGAAGACCCTCATTCTCTGCCTAAGCAGCTCTCTCATCACTTGTCTTAACCTCAAGACAAACAACAGGCTGAAACACACATTTTCACATGTTTTATTTATATAAAAGGCATAAAAGCAATACATTGTAGAGATATTGGGGAATGGGATTACCTGTCTAAATAAAGGTTGAATGAAAAATATTCCTTCATTCAGAGACTTTAACAAGTTTAGAAACAAACTTTTTGGATTTACAGGAAATGAAAAGCTGCCAAAAGAAGCATTTTATGTGAAAAGTGAAAGGAGGTGAAAGTAAAACTGTGGGTTAACAGAAACTTTAAGGCTGATCCTTTGGTTCCTCTGTGGCCTTGGAGGAGGGGTCTGCTGCAGCTGCGTCTGCTGGGGTGGTCTCAGAGCTGGCCGCCTCTTCCTGTGGCTCTGAGGAGGTTGAACTTCCTGCAGCGGCTGCAGGTGGAGAAGCTTCCTCACTTTTGGGAGCATCTCCCTCTTTCTTCTCCTCAGCCTTGCCTCCGCCCTGCTCGGTGGCAGCACCGTCTGCCTCCTGATTTGTTTGAGTTACAACAGACATCAACACAGCTGTTTCTTTAGCTTCACTTCCTGATTTGCTTTTGCCCTTTTTGGCCTCAGAGACGTCAAAGTCGCTGTTTAGTTCGAAGCTGCGGCTCAGCTTTCTGATGCGTCTACTCAGCCTGCACACCTTACATGTCAGCAGAACGGTGGTCATCAGGAAAAAGGTGCAGGCTATGATCAGCCCACCACACACCATAAGCTCCTGATAACACTGCTTCCTCAGGAACGGATGAGATGAGGTGCTGGTAGACTTTGAAAGTGAGGTTTTTTGCTCCACAAAAGATGTAGTGGCCTGTGTAGATGGCTTATCTTCTATTGGACCAACAGAAGTCTTGTTGTTTACAGTACTGGTGGGAATCTCATGCAACTCTCCACACACAAGCCATGGGATAAACAGCAATAAGCCCAGGACTTCTGCACGGTACAGAGGGCCACTCATAGTGAGATCTGGAAAACAAACCATGACAGAACTGTTTAATACAGAATCACAAATAAATGTTTAAAAATCGTTATTGTAAAATGTAGTTTGGCATCTATGAGTGATGAAAGCATCTCAAACACCTCTGCCCCTGAACATGTTTCTTACACGCCATAGAGCAAAGAGGGTCAGGGTTAGACCTCATAGACCTCGGAGTCCATGAGTGTATGTTGTTGTGGTTGAGGTGTTGAAAAGAAGGCAAGCAGCAGCAGTGTGTGTGCAGGCAGGTAGTCACAGCAGAAGTATCAAAGTGATGGAGAGAGAGGCAGGACATGCACTATCTGTATTTTCATCAGCTGCAAGGTTGACAAAGGATGTCCACATTACTGCATCTGTGCTAATTATATCAGTCTGAAACTGAGAGCTGAAGTTCTTCTGACACTTGTGTGTATGGGTACACAGGTGCTGGTCATAAAATTAGAATATCATGAAAAAGTGAACATGAAAAGTATGAACATGTGCAGCAATCAATACTTAGTTGTTGCTCCTTTTGCCTGGATTACTGCATCAGTGTGGCGTGGCATGGAGTCGATCAGTCTGTGGCACTGCTCAGGTGTTATGGGAGCACAGGTTGCTCTGATAGTGGCCTTCTGCTCTTCTGAATTGTTGGGTCTGATGTATCACATCTTCCTCTTCACATCACTCCATAGATTCTCTATGGGGTTAAGGTCAGGGGAGTTTGCTGGCCAGTTAAGAACAGGGATACCATGGTCCTTAAACCAGGTACTGGTAGCTTTGACACTGTGTGCAGGTGCCAAGTTCTGTTGGAAAATGAAATCTGCATCTCCATAAAGTTGGTCAGCAGCAGGAAGCATGACATGCTCTAAAACTTCCTGGTAGACAGCTGCGTGAGCTTGGACCTCAGAAAACACAGTGGACCAACACCAGCAGATGACATGGCACCACAAACCATCACTGACTGTGGAAACTTGACACTGGACCTCAAGCAACATGGATTATGTGCCTCTCCTCTCTTCCTCCAGACTCTGAGACCTTGATTTCCAAAGGAAATGCAAAAATTTATTTCATCAGAGAACATAACTTTGGACCACTCAGCAGCAGTTCTAGGTGAGACATTTCTGACGCTGTCTCTTGTTCAAGAGTGGCTTGACGCAAGGAATGTGACAGCTGAAACCCTTGTCTTGCATATGTCTGTGCGTGGTGGTTCTTGAAGCAATGACTTCAGCTGCAGTCCACTCTTTGTGAATCTCCCCCACATTTTGGAATGGGTTTTGTTTCACCATCCTCTCCAGGGTGCCGTTATCCCTATTGCTTGTACATGTTTGTCTACCACATTGTTTCTTTCCCTTCGCCTTTCTATTAATGTGCTTGTATACAGAGCTCTGTGAACTGCCAGCCTCTTTAGCAACAACCTTTTATGTCTTGTCCTCCTTGTGCAAGGTGTCAATGGCCGTCTTCAGGACAACTGTCAAGTCAGCAGTCTTCCCCATGTATGTGTAACCTACAGAACTAGACAGAGAGACCATTTAAAGGCCTTAAGTGTTTTGAGTTAATGAGCTGATTAGAGTGTGGTACCAGGTGTCTTCAATATTGAACCTTTTCACAATGTTATAATTGTCTGAGATACTGAATTTGGGGTTTTCATTAGTTGTCAGTTATAATCATCAACATTAAAAGAAATAAACATTTGAAATATATAAGTCTGTGTGTAATGAATGAATATAATACACAAGTTTTGTTTTTTGAATGGAATTACTGAAATAAATAAACTTTTTCATGAAATTCTAATTTTATGACCAGCACCTGTATCTCTGGTCTTTAGTTACCTGTCCTGGCATTTACTAAGCCGTTCATAGTTTGTTCCTCTGTGTCTTCCCGAGTTTATTATTCCTGTCAGCATTTTGCTACTGTATCAGGCTTTGTTTTCAGTTTTTGTAAATATATATATTTTTTGTATTTCACCTTTGAGTTTTGACTGCGCCTTAGGTTCTACTTCACACTAAAACATGACTGAACGTTACAAAAAAAAACCATCATAAAAAGTATTGTTGAGAGCGTCACTGCTTCATTTCCTACAATGTGAGTGCTTGTCC